ACGGACTGCTAATATCGGAGCGCTTATATCGGACATTTTTTATGCAGTCCGATAAAATCCGATACGCGTTTTTTGGCTGATATCGGACCGATATCCGATATTGATATCGGATCGGGACACCCCTAATATAAATATAAAGAGAATAAAGCTTACTGCTTTCCAGCCCGTAACATCATGAAAAATAAAGTGCAAAAAACAAAAAGAATAAACATCTGCTTTAACCGACTCGTTATTTTCTAGGAAAATCAAACTCAAGTCACTAGATTACATCATCACCTAATATGTTTGCCAGTAATTGTGATCTGAGTTATAGGAGAGATGTTAAAGAGAAAAAAATGGAAGAAAAACACTAAATATGTTTAGAACTGCAATTAAACAAAGAAATAAAAATAATTTTATGACTTCAATGCTTAGATCCACATTATATAAATTAAATTAGTGAGAATCTTAAATTTAATCTGCAGACTGTAGATATCATGAGGCAAAGGGAGGACTATGGAGAGCCCTTTCATTCAAAATTAATTAAATAAATAAATAATGTAATAAAGTATAAATAAATATTCCATTAAATAATAAATGTTCCTATGAAATAAAACAAAATCAATACAATTATAATACATTTTAGCATGTCTTTATTTATTTATAAAATAAAAATTTACTTTTATTTATTTATTTATTTATTTATATTTACATTTATTTATTTATTTCAAATTGTAGTTTTATTTTGTGAAACTTTTACTTTGTAAATCTACTTCACATATTTCAGGGACTTTTATTTTGAACTCCCTTTTTATTTAATGCCATTTTACTGTTTCATGCAGTTTTACTATTTCAGGCTATTTCATGACGATTTATTTCATGGTCCAATATGCAAATGAGGGGGCGGAGTTCTCTCTGTGGTTTGTGGTTCAGAAAATGATCAGTTTCACCACCAGATGGGGGATACTCTCCTGCCTGGCATTTCTTCATAGTTAAACATTCATTTTTATAAATAAAACACAGACGTGTCCATAAACGAGTTGAATGACTGTCACTCTGTGATTATAAAGGCTTTGCAGTGATACTTATTGGTGGCTTTTGACGTACTGAAAAAGTGTTGTATTCAAAGCTTCTAAAAGTCTCCAAAAACGCAGGGAAAAATTGCTAGATTTGTCGCTAGAAGCTTTTTGAAAAAAAAAAAAAAAAGGCACTAGAGGGGTCTCAAAAGCCGCTAGATCTCACTAAGTTGAAAACACTGCTTCTCTCGGCTCACTCCCAAGTCACATGACCAGTCAAATCGCAGCCTGTGTGGTTAGAAAATCTTGTTTTAACATAACGAGAGATTATCGCAATTGTTCAGCCCTAGTTGGCACGTTGTGTGCATAAATCCAACTCCTTATCAGTTCTGCCATTCTTCCTCAGGCTACACACCTTATGCCGTCACACACGCATCAGACCACTTTCAAATGCTGTACGACCTCGCCGTGGACCTTATCCGCAGGTGTGTGATGATACAGGATGAACAGTGTGAATTTGCATTGAAAGGTGTGTGAATTTCTGATCCTTTGTTTTTCGTAGGGGTCATGCATACGTGTGCCATCAGAAGGGTGAGGAGCTGAAAGGCTATAACGTTCCTCCATCTCCATGGAGAGACCGACCTGTCGAAGAGTCGCTGGTGTTGTTCGAGAGGATGAAGAAGGGAATATTTGCAGAGGGAGAGGTCACGCTCAGAATGAAGATGGTCATGGAGGATGGGAAGATGGACCCTGTGGCGTACCGAATCAAATACACTCCTCATCATCGAACAGGAGATGAATGGTATGGAAATCTGAACTGTTGTACTTTTTATCTTTTAGCTTCATCTCCAAATTTAATGTTTCTATTTGCAAATAATAACATTTGCCTACTTATTTCTTTTAATTTTGAGGTGTATCTACCCCACTTACGACTACACCCACTGTCTGTGTGACTCTATTGAAAACATCACTCATTCACTTTGTACTAAAGAGTTTCAAGCCAGGTATAAATGTGGCATTTGATCTTTTATGAACTGCATTTTAACATTTGTTTGAAACGAGTTGAATTAATTTTTTTTCTTTAATTGTCCTTCAGACGTTCGTCTTATTACTGGCTGTGTAATGCTCTGGATTTGTACTGCCCGGTTCAGTGGGAATACGGACGCTTGAACCTCACCTACACTGTTGTGTCCAAGAGGAAGATCATTAAACTGGTTGAGACCGGTGTTGTCAGGTAAAGAAGCATATTTGTGATATTAAGAATGTAAGCATTACTTCACATCATCATTCTATAATGTACATCAACACTGATTTTATAAATTGGCTTGCTTTTATTTAGATACGACTGTAGTTTTTAAATTTCTGCTCCTGAGTCTCCTTATGTAGGGTTGGATAGGTTTTAAACATGGAAAGTTGCGTGCACAGAAAAAGAAACAGAACAAAGAGAAAACTACAAAAATGGAGGAAAAAGAGATTCAACTTGCCTTGTCTTTGTTGAAGGCAAAGATTTGGTCTTATTAATTTTATTGAATAAGTCCAAGTTTGACATGAGCTTCACTGTGTGCAACGTTTGCATAGAAAATATGAACACTTTGGGAACAAGACAAAAGTGCAGGCTCACACTATCCATTTTGAATGAAAAATCAATTTTGAATGGAATCATGGCCCCAAAGATTAGAACTCCATCAAATCGTGAGATGGTAAAAGATTCCTACCCCTAATAGATCTGCAGAGCAGAGGCATTGAATTACACTGGATGTTTTAGACCAGGGGATTTCAAAGCGTGCATCAGGAAGTGGGGAAATAATACGTTCACACTGCAGGTCTAAAGGCCCTGTCACACTATGACGTTTAAGACAACTTATGCCAATTTTGTCCAACATATTGCTATAAGTTGTACAAGTTAGGTGTACGTTGTGAATAGGTTGTCAGAATGATGGCCCGACAATAATTTTGAACACGCTCAAAATTTGTCAGCCTAAGCCGACGTGCTGCTAAGTGAGGCAAAAGTTACAGGTATGCTACAAATAATTTATGCATCGGTTCACATATGTTTCAGGTAAGTTGTTCATTTGTTACTCATAAGTGCTATAAGTCCAACACCAGCGGGACACTTCTGAAGCAGCACCTAACTTTTTTTAAAAACCCTGAGTAGCTACCATCAATTAAGGCTCATGTGAAAACCAGTTTAACTTTTTCATTACGATTACTACGCATTATTACAACGACGACAACAACAACAACGCAAAAAATATATATTCTTCACATTTCATCAGTCTTGTTTTAAATACAAACAAGTTTATTTCACCAGAACCTTGTTTAAAATCTTGGAATTCTGTATTAAATTTAAATTTTCAGATATTTATGATCAACTTTTAAACCTGAAACTTTGACAGAAAGAACAGCGGGTTCTCACTAAGATAACATACATCCATTAAAGCTGAGGAAATCCAAGCATCGTGTCAGAAGTAACTTCAAACCATTTTTAAGTCTCTACTTTTGTGACCATGTCGTACTTGTGTGTGTTTATAATCCTACATATATTTTTATGAATATAATGAATGTTTTTCTCTTTGCAGAGACTGGGATGATCCCAGACTCTTCACTTTGACTGCTCTGAGGAGAAGAGGTTTCCCCCCAGAGGCCATCAACAACTTCTGTGCTCGGGTATACAGAGTGAATGGTGATGTCCTGAAATGTAAAGGCAAGATCCTGTTGCATGACAATATGTCATCTGTTTTGAAGGTGGGAGTCACTGTTTCCCAGACAACGACTGAACCCCACCTGCTGGAGTCATGTGTGAGAGATGTGCTGAACGACTCTGCTCCTCGAGTCATGGCTGTGCTGGAGCCGCTCAAAGTCACCATAACTAACCTTCCTCAGGACTCGAAGGTTTGTTCTTTAGAAAAAAGCACATCAAACTCATTCTTGAGTTCTTTTATTCTCTAATTACATCATATTGACAATGTGAAATCATCTTTCTGTTTGTCTTCTAATCTTAGTCGGATGTTCAGGTACCAAACTTCCCTGCTGATGAGTCTAAGGGCTCCCACACGGTTCCGTTTACAAGGACGATCTTCATTGAACAGAGCGACTTCAGAGAGGTTAGAAAGATAAAAACAAAAGCAGTGTTTCGAGCACATAAAAGTGTGGTTTGTGGACAGAAAAGAATCACCTGCTCACACTTCTCAGGTGATGGAAAAAGGCTACAAGCGGCTGACTCCAGAGCAGCCTGTAGGCCTGAGGCATGCTGGGTATGTCATCGCCGTTCAAAAGGTCATCAAGGTAAGATGTACATTTATTTTAGCTCCTAATGACAAAATGATGTAGAAAATACATTTTTTAAATTATGAAAGTGTGTTACTGTTTTTGTTTGGTAAAATCCCTGTTTTTTTACTCATAACATGACTATTTTGAAGAATTTGTTCAGACTTATGAGTCTTTGCATATCCAATAAACTGATATGGAGCAGCTACTGAAATTTATTTATGTCTTATCAAATAAAAAAACATTTCCAACGTTTCCCCCCACTTCTCTGGTTGTCAGGACCCTCATGGTAACGTGGTGGAACTGGAGGTGACGTGTTGCAGCTCTGAGACTGCGGAGAAACCAAAGGCTTTCATCCACTGGGTCAGCCAGCCGCTGGTGTGTGAAGTGCGTCTCTATGAAAGACTGTAAGTCAGAAGTGATGACTGTCATTCACAGCTAACCCTCAGTATTAAATCTCTGTCTGAATAAGACCTGTCACTTGCTTTGTAGCTTCTTGCACAAACATCCAGAAGATCCATCTGAAGTGCCCAATGGCTTCCTGAGTGATATCAACCCTGTGAGTGCTTGTTAATTTCTGCAGTAGTAACATTTGGATCAACTTAAAATTTGTGTCATCTATTTATTTCCTCTTTTCTTGTTACTCAGAATTCCCTGCAGGTCATCAGTGATGCCCTAGTGGATACCTCGGTCAAGGGAGCAAAGGTTTTTGACAAGTTCCAGTTTGAGAGAGTTGGTTACTTCTCACTGGATCCTGACAGCACTGTTGACAAGGTATAAAGACAATAAATCAAAAAGACATTCAAAATGTGTTTTCAGATGAAAGCTTACAGCTGAAATCTGTTGTTTTCCTGCAGCTCATCTTCAACAGAACGGTCACACTTAAAGAAGACCCTGGGAAGATCTGATGTCATCACCACACTTCCTGCCACCCATGAGCCTTCAGATACATGTTCAAATTGTTAGCATCTGTTATTATGTAATATCAGGAAGGACACAGATCAGGATTGAGATGGACTCATAATATATGCCTTTATATTTACCTACAACTTTTATAAACGACAGATCTCATGTGGAACTGTCTTGGTTTTGATCTCATCACAGGAAAATCAGTCTCTCTACTTTACCAGTCAGTGTTTGGAGTCCTTTTATTTTCTTCTACTTTTACATCTGCTACAGTGATAATCACAAAGTATTCCTTTTAGAATGAAAGCAACTTGCATCAAATAAGTACTAATTGCTGACGCATCACAACGGTGTGGCTTCTGAATAAATGAAAATGATTTAACACAGTTGTTTATACTTTTAGCAGCTCTTTTTATTCCACAGCTGAGCTGCTAAAAATGACAGATTTTKTTTTCTGGATCTCTGACAGACGGACTTCAATCTCTGAACTCGTAAAGTTTTTCTTTTTAATCTTCGCTGTCATTTTTATGAATGGACACTTCCTGGTATCCGAGACAGGAAACATATGGTGTTTTTGGGGTGGTAATCATGCTAATCTCCTCTCGCATGCACGAGCAGCTGGATACGAACAGGTGGAATTTACGCAGCTCATTTACACACTTTTCCTGAAGATAGAAGAGTTTGTTGAATCTGACGTGACCTGTTCGTACGAACCCTTCGTATGAACAAAAGTAAGAAAAATTTAGGATAAGAATACGAACATGTTCTTGCATGAGGCCCAATGTTTTTAAATCTCAGGGGGGTTCTATTAACAAAAAAAAAATAAATACTATTTAAAAAACAAGTGGCTATTGTAATGTTGAATTGCCAAAAATTATATTTTAGTACTTATTGTGAACTAATGTTAATGATCTAATAGTCTGTTCAGTGCCATATTGAAATGGTTATTGGTTTACTTATTTCAGCTGTTCCCTCTTTGATAGTCACAGCACATCTTCCTCCTACATCTCACTCTGTCCTTACTCCAACACTTGAACAGTTGGTTTTCTAAGCTGTCAGGTTGTTAAATAATTATAACTGAATGATGTGATCTTTCCTCTTTTATAAGCAATATAAATAAATACAGGTGTATTTGGTGTAGTGTAGGTTCACACATATGCCTGACTGTTGTATGTGCGAATTAACCCTCACCTGCCTGGAGCTTCTTGAGGACCAGGTACCCTGACAAAAATGATGGAATCACCGGCTTCAGAGGATGTTCATTCAGTTGTTTAATTTTGTAGAAAAAAGATCACAGACATGACACAAAACTCAAGTCATTTCAAATGGCAACTTTCTGGCTTTAAGAAACACTAAAAGAAATCAAGAATAAAAAGTGGCAGTCAGTAACAGTTACTTTTTTTGGCCAAGTAGAGGGAAAAATATGGAATCACTCAATTCTGAGGAAAAAAATTATGGAATCATGAAAAACAAACAAAAGAACAACATATCGCTAGTATTTAGTTGCACCACCTCTGGCTTTATAACAGCTTGCAGTCTCTGAGACATGGACTTGATGAGTGACAAACAGAATTCTTCATCAATTTGGCTCCAACTTTCTCTGATCGCTGTTGCCAGATCAGCTTTGCTGGTTGGAGCCTTGTCATGGACCATTTTCTTCAACTTCCACCAAAGATTTTCAATTGGATTGAGATCTGGACTATTTTGCAGGCCTTGACATTGATCTTATGTGTCTTTTTTTTCAAGGAATGTTTTCACAGTTTTTGCTCAATAGCACTGTGATCTTGAAAACATATTTCATCATCCCCAAACATTGTTTCAATTGATGAGATAAGAAAAGTGTCCAAAATATCAACATAAATTTGTGGATTTATTGAAGATGTAACGACAGCCATCTCCCCAGTGCCTTTACTTGACATGCAGCCCTATATCAATGACTGTGGAAATTTGCATGTTCTCTTCAGGCACTCATCTTTATAAATCTAATTGGAACGGCACGAAACAAAAGTTTCAGCGTCATCACCTTGCTCAGTGCAGATTCATGATTCATCACTGAATATGACTTTCATCCAGTTATCCACAGTCCACAATTGCTTTTCCTTAGCCCAGCACTTCCTGCCACCCATGAGCCTTCAGATACCTGTTCAAATTGTTAGCATTGTGTAGGAAGGACACAGACTAGGATTGAGATGGACTCCTACTACTTTTATAAACAGATCTAATGTGGAACTGTCATGTTGGTTTTGTTTCATCACAGGAAAATCTCTGTGCTTTACCAGTCAGTGTAAACCCACCCACTGTTCTTAAAGAGTAACTTACCCCAAAATTAACTTTTTTTTAGCTGATAAACTGTCTAGAATGTGTCTAAAATAGTGCTGTTTCTGTGCAGGGGGGTTCTATTAATATCAAAAATAACAAGCTGTAACATATGTTTTTCTAAGCTGTTAGGTTGTTAAAGAATTATAACTGAATGTCATGATCTTTCTCATTTTATACGCAATATAAACAAATACAGGTGTATTTGGTGTAGTGTAGGTTCACTCATGCCTCACTGTTTCTATGTGGGATTTAACCCTCAATTGCCTGGAGCATCTTGAGTAGAACGCAAATATTCAGCGGATCTCTTAGGTACTACCTTAAAATATTCCGTAGCCAGTGAACCACTGGGAGCGTCATTCTGGCATAACTGCGTTTTAAGGTGGACTGACATCTTGCCTGCTCCTGCTGTACACTTTGCCAGCGAGTCGCCTTTAAAAGGCCGCATGTAAACAGATGTTCTCGCGATACGACGGGTTGGAAATATCGCGATAGCAGGGGTCAGTTTACAAATCGGTCGCTTATTGGTGAGGGCGCTGCTGTAAGATGGCGTCCAGCGAAATACGAGTAGTGTAGAGAAAGAAATACCACCGCTAATCGTCTGGGGGACAGCCAAGAAGAATTAAAACATTTAAGTACCAACCGAAATTATCAGCAGTACTTCGCTTTCTGCTCGTTGGAAATAAGGGCTACGTGGTGATTCCGACCTCAGCCAATTAAGAGAGGTAGTCAACGCGCCTGCTAATGTTAGCTTGTTAGCTTTGTGGGGAAACCAGAAACATTTCTGTTACCAACACAAGAGGATTCCCCCAAGGCTGTTGATTTTAGCGCCTCGTCTTATGCAACGAAGCGAATTAAGTGTCATAGTCGGGCACATTCGCTTTCGCGTTTATTTTTGAAGTGATGTAATAAGCTATGTTTTGCAAACAACACGCGGCTAGTTAGCCGTGTAACTGGCTAACCTGGCCCGCTGTGTAATCAGCTGTCCAGTTCTTACACCGTGCCCAAAACAATAACAACAGTTGTTTTAAGCTTGCCCGTGTCACACAGTTATGTTTTCATCACCACTACGAGTACAGCGTCAGATTTAGAAAGTGACCGCGCTTTTGTCCCATCTCGTTTACACTCAGCCGGAATTAACCCTTTCCTATTACGATCTCTGTTCTCACCGGTCTGAGGTCAGCTTGATGTCAACACAGCATTTGTTCCATTTCTCCAAATTAATCTGCCTTCTCTTGTAATTGGTTTGTAAAAATTAATTCTAACCCAGATTCTTGGGGGATAATATAATATATTGAAACTTTCCCCTTTTGTACAGGGACCACCTCAGCAGAGGGCACTGTTTGCAGCAATGAACAACTCCATGGATGGTGCAAGCTCCTATGAGGAGCTGGTGAGGCAGAAAGCTAGGAGCATCCCTCAGCATCGCATGAAGGAGTTCCTGGAGTCCTTGGCCAATAAAGGTCCAGATGCCCTGCAGGAGTTCAACCAACAAAGTGGAGACACAACCACTACTACCACCATGATTTACCAACAAGAGCCCAACTGTGTTTACACAGACAGCACAGAAGTGGCGGGGTCGCTGTTGGAACTGGCGTGTCCGGTAAATGAACAATTTAAGATTTATAGTTCTTTAAAAAATAAGAAGCAATGCCTGAACTGATTAAAATAAACTTCAGGATGTGTTACCATAAGTTTTATAGTTGACCCGTTATGGTTTTGGAAATTCATCCTTCAAAGATATTTTTGTAAATAAGATTGTGTTAATGCAAAATGAGAGAGAGAGAGGGAGAGAGAGAGAGAGGGAGAGGTAGTCAGAGCATGATCAGTGTGGATAATTTGAGAGACGGGGAGACAACCTAATAGCTGGTCAGGCTGGAACCTGTTTCAGAACTGTCTGCTGACATCTCGAATTAGTCAGACTTCAAAAAAAATCTTCATTGTCTAAAGCAAGCTGTATATTTAAAATTTGTACACCTGTGCCACTAATGAATCAGATAAATGGTAAATGGACTATACTAACATAGCGCTTTTCTATCCATCCATGACACTCAAAGCGATTAACAATACAATTTGTGTCTTCATTTACCCATTCACACAGCACTCTATTAGGTCTCTACTAAGCTAAAGCCTGAAACATACTCACGCCGACGGGTCGACACGCGGTCATGTGGTTTTTCGGCAGTCGTTTTCGCATGGACCTTTCATAGTCCCTACGACACACCCACGCCGAGTTCGGGAAACTCCTCTCCCTGAAACATACGTCACTGCATGGAGTTCCCCCGCAACAGCCGATAATGCAGAAAAAAAAGTCAAACTCGTCACTCACCAGACATATTTATCCACATCTGTCCTGGTTTAGCTCCACGGTTTTTATCAGTCAGATTTCTCCGTGTACAACGTCTGTTTTATCTCCATTCATGGGTTTTTCACAAAATGACTATCTTTATAAAACTCTACTTCCTGGTGTCGGCTCTGGGAGCGAGTCGGGGTTTTTTTCCCCTCTTTTTTTTTTTTTACCGAGTGCAGCAGCGCATTCAGTACAAACAAACAAGCCATAAGTTTTTCACGGTTTGACTATCTTTTTAAACTCTGCTTTCTAGTCTGGGTCTGGAGCGAGTCGTTCTCTTTCTTTTTTTTTTCCCCGAGCGCAGCACAAACGAACACGCCAAACAAAACAAGCAAGTAAAACTGTTAGCGTAACCTTTTAAAATAAATGCAGCATAAAATTCTGTAAAATACCAATTGTTTAAACTGCTATCAAATTTAGGAGGTTTGCATTCTTTGACTCAGTGAAATTGGTTCTGAAAGAAGCTCCAGGTAGCACGACTCAGCCATAAAAGAAATGTTTTGATTCTTCAAAATTCAGACTATCCAGACTAGGGCTGAACGATTTTGGAAAATAATATAATTGTGATTTTTTTTATCTTTAAATTGCGATTTAATATGCAATAATTTTTTTATGTCTTCTCAAGTATTTTAACAAACAGAAGCAATAAATTAAAGCACAGATTTCAATAAAGCAAACAAATCTGTGGCTTTATGTTTTCACCATTTTCAGTTTTTCTTGTTTCATGAAACATGATATTAAACATGTTAAGTGAACTTCCTAAACAGTCTGAACTTCACAGGACAGTCTATAAATAAATAGAAAAAATTATATAAATATAAAAAGAATAAAGCTGACTGGTTTCCAGCCAGTAACGTCATGAAAAAGTGAGAATCTTAAATTTAACCTGCAGACTGTTAGATGTCATGAGGCACGGGGAGGAGGAGGTGAAGCAGTGACTGATCTGTGAGTCAAACACAGCTGGGTCCAGAGATTTATTTTAGAAAGACAGTGTCAGAGAAAAAACATTACAGTAAATATTCTATCCTGCTTTAGAAACAAGGCAAGAGCAGTGGCAACTTTGCGTATGCAAAGGGGAGGGCTCACTGCACCACTCGCGTGGGGGAAATGGAGAACAGTGCTGTCACCAAAGCTTCTAAAAGTCTCAAAACACCAGGACAAGTCACCAGATTTGTCGCTAGTTGCTTTTTGGGAAAAAAGACGCTACAGGGGTCTGAAAAGCTTCTAGGTCTAGCGACAATGTCGCTAAGTTCACAACACTGCTCCACTCGGCTCACTCTCAAGTCATATGACCAGTCAAATTGCAGCCTGTGCAGTTAGAAAATCTCATTTTAACATATCGCGAGATTATCGCAAATGTGATTAATCATTCAGCCCTAACCCAGACATATGTTTACTAGGGGTGTAAGAAAATATTGATACACTGAAATATCGCGATATTTCATTTCCCGATACTGTATCAATATTCTAAAGCCCTGTATCGATTTTTTATTAAGGTTTAAAATGTCAACTTTCCTGCCAGCCATTCATTTTTACGTTGTAGTTCAGCCTCTGACCACTAGTTGGCAGCAGTGAGTCAGCCATTTGGCTCCTCTACCTCGAGCACCAGAGAGTAAGAGAGCATTAGCATTGTGAGTAAACATTAGCTTCATGCTCCGATAGCTGAATCTGAGCAGAAAAGACCGACACCCTCTGCCTTCTAAGCTGAGGTAAGGTTACAAACAGTTACTTATTTGTCAGATTGTCTGTATTTTAAGACAAATTAAGTGTCTTCTGCGCTCTTTTTTTCCAACTGTAGTCAGGTTTCACGRTACGCATATAGCGCATGCGTCTATCACCTCGGGTGAGCTTGGCACTCCCCCCGTGACATAAAACTCTGTCTGTTGCTCTCAAAGACCGGCTGATGATCGCATCAAAGTCCATATACTTTATCCTGCTGTGTTCGCTTCAAAAACGGTTTAACTCGTTTAGCTTCTCAATTTCTTAACTGGTTTTCTTCAGGACCTGCCCTGCTGTTCGACCCACAGTTATGCAAATCACGTTCTGGATGCAGGTCAGCTGATCCCAGAAACTCTGTGTGCAAAAGCTTCATATCATCTGTTTACTGAACTTTATGACAACATAAAGGCTATTGTTAAGTGTTGGGTGACCATATTGTAAATTAATATTAAAAACGAAAAGCTGCAAAAAATATATTTTCAAAGTGTTTATTGGCAAATTTAGTCTAATAATTGAAAACATGGATGAAATATGAAACAAATAAAATAAAACACATAAAATGCAGAACACAGCTAAATGTATCAAAAGTWTGTCTATGTAATATTAGAATTTTCTGAGACAATGAATTTTGGTTTTTCGTTTTTTTTTTTTACCCCCAGTAAGAGGTTTTTATTTAATAGAATTTTTGGACCAAAAATATCGCGATATATCGGCTTGTTTACAGTATCGAAATATATCGGGATATATCGTATCGTGACCCCTCTGTCATGATATGTATCGTATCGCCAAATTCTTGCCAATACACAGCCCTAATGTTTACTGCAGAAAGTTTAATAGCTGTTTGTAACAGCTCTACAGGACCTCACTTAAAAACATCTGAACTATCCCTTTAAAGAGCACTGATCCAGAAATGACATTTTCTAAGTAGCACTGTTCTCCAACACAGGTTCAGGTGCAGGTCCAACCACAGCAGCAGATTCAGGAGGCTACATCACAACAAGCTGTGCAGCAGAGTACAGAACAACAAATTGTACAGGTCAGTTTCTTTGTTGTGTCAATGCATTGCCAAAAAAAATTGTTATTGATGGTCTTTTTTTGTTCAGGTGCAGATTCAAGGCCAACAGCAAGGCCAGATGCTAGGTCAGGTCCTCCAAGTGCCTGCTGGCTCCCATCAGCAGCTACAAGGGGTGACTACTGCACAGCTCATTCAGCCTGGGGACCTGACAGAAGAACAGCAGCAACAGGTATGCACACAGAACAACAACACAGTGCTGTAGAAAAATTGATAATTTTGCCACTAATTATTGTTGTTGTTTTAGCTGCAAGCCCAATTGGTGGCAGCTGTGGCTGGAGGTCAGCAGATCCAGATCCAGACAGTAGGGGCCCTCTCTCCTCCTCAGCAGCAGGATGGTGCAGAGAGAAGAGCGATGGGAACCACAGTTGCCACGTCTCAAGGAGCAGGTGTCCTCCAGCCAGCCAAAAAGCGTAAGGTGGACATGCCCATCACCGTGTCCTACGCCCTGCCTGGCCAGCAGGTAGCCACAGTCTTAGCGATCCCCCAGGGCCAGGGGCAGCAGCAAAGTTATGTGTCCCTGAGGCCAGACCTTCTAACTGTGGATAGTTCCCACCTTTACAGCGCTACTGGTACTATCACCAGTTCCACAGGTGAGACCTGGACCATTCCTGTATATTCAGCACCAGCTGGGTCTGGAGGCCGTGAGCAGGTGACGCACATTGCAATTCCCCAGGATGCGTATGGGACAGTGCAGGTGGCAGGGACAAACACTACAATGACCACAATGCCAACACAAGTCACTGTTGAAAATGACAAGTTGAAAAACCCTGCGAGTCAAAGTCAGACGGCACAGGCTGTCTCCAGCATAACAAGCTCTGGAGGAATGGGCAGCCAGGAAGACGTAGTGCACACGCTGGCTGCAAACACACTTTTCTCTGCCCAGCTTACGAATGGCAACATCCACATTCCCGTGGCTGTACAGGGCTACTCTAATACTACTCAGTCTCTTATTTGGGACCCACAGCAGCAGGTGCTGCACACACAAGGACTGTCAAGTCAGGACGCACAGCAACTACAGGTAAATACAGAAAAATCTAGCTGTGTTGCAATTCTCACCTGTGAGACATGTTTTTAAACTAACTGGGTGACCAGTGTTTATTGTCCGAGCAGGGCCAGACAGTGGTTGCAGAGGTGGACGGTCATGGTCAACAGCAGGTGCAGGTGCAGGAGCTGCTGTTGCCGGCCACTGTGAAGCCAGAGGAGGGACTGGATGTGTGGCGGCTGTGGGCTCAGAGGAAAAACGCAGAGTTGGACAAATCAGACAAGAATAAACTGGCCCCTATTGGCCGTAAGTGTGCATGTGTTGTTGTAGAGTAGTAAAATAATAATAATCTTTTAGGCAGATGAAATTTGCCCTTTGCATTTTTTTAAATAACAGTATTTTTGATTTTTTTTTTTAATTTGCTTTAGGTCGCCAGGCACTTCGTTTCCAAGAGGACCTGGTGTCGTGTGCTGTTGCTGAGCTCTGCATGGGTTTGTCTTTAATGACAACAGAGGCCCGGGGGCTGGAAGAAGAGACATACGAGGCTGATGTTCTTTACTATATATTTCTGTGCATCCAGAAAGTGAGTTACCCACATGCAACGTAACTAGAAATGCTCGATATTGACTTTTTGCCGACATTCGATATGCAGATATTGTTTAACACTTAATTTCTGATTACGATATTAACCGATATTACAAACCGATATTAAGGTGAAATTATCTCCTGTCAGGGACATTATGCCTGCTTTATTGAGTTGCCCCACTGGATACATTCCATAGGCAAACAGTCTGTACAAAATAAGAACCATTTCAACTGAAGTTATGGAAAAACTGCCATATTTATTTAACACACACGCGCGCGCCTAAAAAGTGCGTAACTATAAAGTGACCAAAAAATACTAAATAAATGAATAATCACAGAATTCAAAACTGAATGTCTATTGTTTCACTTTCTCAAATATAACAAATTGCTGTGGTTCAGCAAAACATTGTATTTGCCTGCCTTTTAAAGAACAAAAATATCATGTTAAAGAATCTCACATTTTAAAAAGTTATACTTTTTGTAAATAGTAAAATGCTTTGGGGTTGAACTTAACGTAAAAATATGTCATAAAAAAACAAAAAACATACAGTAACAATTTTTGCACACTTGCCTACTGAATATCGTCTATGCTCATTTTTTAATTTTTGCTTTTTTTCTAAAGGAATATCTTGATTCTGCACATGTAGCAACAAAATGTGAAATTCACTCCTCCCTTCTGTTCATATAGCTGAACGTTGAAGAATTTTCAGGCGTGTCTGGTTTGTGCTAGCTTGTTTCTTCTCCTGTTTCTGAAGTGAGTCAGACTGGCAGCGATCGTCACATGTATTCTTACACATCCAGTTGATCGTGTGTGCTGATAATTTTTTTTTTCAACAAAAAACTCAGGTCCTCATCTAGAGGACCTAATGTTTTTTTTAATGTAAAAATTATTGAGATGCATCAGAACTACAGAAAAGTTGTTCTTCGGATTCATAAAAATTGCTGGGGATATTGTTCTTCCCTAAACTTTGCAGTAAGCTTAGCATTTGTTTAATATTGTGGAGGGCGTTGGCATTTCAGCATGCCTCTTCACCTTTGCTTACCTTTTTTCGGTGTTGAGATTAGAGCCCACCCCACATTCACATAACTAGGAAACGCCAGGTACACGGGGCGGCAGCAGCCAAAATACCCCCGAAACTTTACTTACTCGCTCAGATGAGCGTATTCTGTGAGATTCTGCCTTTTGTTCTGGATTTCATTTTGTTTGTTAAATTTTATGTTTCTGTTCACTTTTTCTGCATCATGGAAACCATACCACTACTGATCATCACCTAATGTTCTATTGTTGTTTCATTTATGGGAGATGTTTTGTTGTCAAGTCACAAAATATTTGTACTAAATCAAAAAATGCATGTTCGTCCCTGCATCTGTCACTTGATGTTTACTGTGATTTGCTTGAATACACTTTGTTGTAGTAACTCTAATAGGCTGCATTTTGTCTTTTTCCCTTTTTCCTGCAGTATCTGTTTGATAACGGTCGTGTTGACGACATTTTCTCAGATCAATACTACACTCGCTTTGCTCAGAGTCTGCACCAAATCTTGGAGCCCTGGAGACCATCTGTTCACCCGCTAGGTGCGACCAAAAGTTGGTCTTGAAAAAGTCTTTTCAAAATTGTGATTTTACAAACCCGTACTTAAAATGGCACAAATATCTACCCCTGAATCTTTCATTCTGTGATATAGTTGCATACATTTAGGATTGGTTTTGTTCCACACACAGTGGTTTTCTTGCAGGAGTTTGTATTTATTTTAGGTATTATACTTTGAGCTGACTGCAGCCTCATAAGTGTTGCTGTCACAAAACACGTCAGAGTTTGAACAGCTTCTTTGCTCAAACATTCAAGTACAGTTTTGACCAACAGAGGGTGTTGCATGATTATAAAATGTGACAGGAAATTTCTGCTGATGGTACATTGCGGAATACTTTGAAGACCTCCTCAATCCCACCAACATGCCTTCTGTTGAGGAAGCTGAGCCTGGGGACTTTGGGTTGGGCTCTCCAATCTCTGGGGA